TTATGCTGCTATCTGTGTAGATCTGTTGATAACTTTGTTTTACTTTACCAAATAATAGCCAACTGCCTTGTCATTTGACAGGATATTCTCAAAGGATTCTATGAGTTCATCTAATGAATATAATATAAGTCTGTAGAATAAAAGAAATCAGAAAAATCCAAATGTTCAACAGTTTCACCATATTATATTATAAAATGCAAGATTTTACCTCAAACTGATATTTGTTTAATTAGGTCAATCTCACATTCGTATTGAGCAAAATGTTTGGGCCGATTCTCATAAAAAAGTTTTCATTAGAAATTGCATAATATTATATCTTTCTGATCCTAATATATTTGATTTATAAAGACGCAAAACAATATTTATGACACTAAAATAAAGTACATAACCCAGCCTTTATTGCTCGGATGTACTAAAAAGCAGTCATAAGTGCGTCATTCAGGAGTGACATTCAGTGCACAATAGGGATGGTTCTTAGCTATTTCACGTCATAAATCTTTATCACCTTATATCGATTTTTTGGGGTATAATCTTAGAAAAGTGACATAAATCCTTGCTATTAACAGCATTAAATCAAACTTGATTTATCCTTTCTACTTATTTGTGGCAATTTTACAGACAGGGACACGAGGGCAAGTGTATTTATATTTTTCATGCAATGTGTCACAAGCACAACCAGCAATACATCAATTCCCCTTTAATAGCTGATCAATCCAAAGTGAAATCATGAATTGTCTCATGAATTGTCACATGGAATTGTCTCTCAAGAGTATATACCAATTGAAGCTCAGGTAAAGTGTATTTAAAGGTATAACATAACTTTCATTGATTTGAAATAACCAAAATATGATTGATGCTATTCTCAGCTAGGAGTTGGTTTCTTTGCCTGTTAACTCCTGACCTAGTATCATTACCCACTATCACCCACTTCCAAATAGATATTTTTTGTTTTATAGTCACTTGCCAATCATTCTAAAGATTTCCATGATAATGTCGACTAAAAACATCCAGAAAATTGAAAACTAAAAAGTTATTAGGAAAATAAAACGGCTTGACTTGTTCCATCACAGCTACTACAGTAATTCAGATTGCTTGCATGATAATGTCGCCTAAAATAATTCTAAAATTGACTTCACAGGATGCTTTATTGTAATTAACTTAGAGATTGAATTTTTTAGAATCTACGGTGTTAGATAATTAATTTAATTATGTTCATTCATTAGTTATTGATGGAGCAACAGCGGGAAGACTGAAAATTTCTGGAAATCATGCAACAGACTTCATATTATTAATAGTAACACGATCATATTCTCTCTGAAGTTTATTCTTGTATGTCTTAAATAAGAATCATTAAGTTGTTATTATGCCAGCGTTAGGGTGTTATATCATGATATAAACTAATATCGACTTACATTTTTATCGTAATAATGTATGGTATCTAGGAAGCATGATACTGAAATTGTTTTCCAGAATGTCAAAATCAATATTGGCAATAAAACTGACTTTCAAAAGAGGTTAATTATTGATAAAATAGAATATTATGGGAACTTATTGATCACCTCTTGTATGATATACATAATGTACAGTATGATATGAGCTTAAAATCATTTTAGATATTTTAAGATTTTATATGTAGATGTAGTAGAATAAATGTTTTTACTCTCTTTTCAAGTCTAATAGTTAACATATTCTCCATGGTATTGGAATCATTGTGGAACTAACTTGAACTGTCTTTGGGAGAAAGCGCATGAGCATCAGTTAATAGCGACTCAGATAAATCAGAGAGCATGAGACTTTTATCCACTATTATAGCATTGGATATTTTTTATTTTTTGTGCAGTAAACCATTGTTATAATCTGCATGTTTAACATCAGTATTATCTTGGATGAAATGACTAATCTGTTAATCCCAATTATAATCTCTCGTAACACATTCTTTGGTAGCCCCATATATAAATCATGTGTTTTACTGGAATGTGCTTATCATGACATGCAGGTGTTGTATATTGACTATTTATAATCGTATCCCTTATGATTTATTCACAAATGAAATATATGACTATAAATAAAATATGATATTCGTCATTAGGGAAATGTTGATATAAGCGATGAGAAAGGATTAGAAATTAAAGCCTGTTGGGGGCTGGGAATATTTATTCAATTGTGTTATTAATTGAGGAATGGAATATGATTTTTGTAGAAGCTTTTTGCTGTCATATTATAGTCCTGATAAAATACTGTACTATATTCATATCGTACAATGATGATAGACATGCTGCACAATGATGATAAACATGCTGCACAATAATGACAACAAAGATACTTCAGATGATGAGAATAGATGAAATATTTTATACCAAATAACTCTCTGACTGATTTATACTTTCTCCAATAGCATTTGTAATTACATCTTAATTCACATTTCTTTGATTAAGGGAGTAATTCTTTAATATCAGTACTAATTGTTTATCAGAACTCGTATCGCTTCTGGCAAAAGTATTCCTTACTAAATTAATGATTTCATTTATCTCATTAGGCTGATGTCTTAAGCAATCCAGAGTTCAAATCGAACTCTTAGAGGGGATTGTTTAAGAAATGATAGTTATAAATCTCTGTATCATATTTTATAACAGATATGTGTAAAATCTTCATTTTTCTATTTTGACATTATGTATAAGTGATGAAATTTACAATATGGCTTTATAATTTTTGTGGTTTTCAAAATCTAAATAAATGACTTGTCTCCACCTATCTTAGAAAAACTTTATATGGTATATATCGATACATTGTTTATATACAAGAAGAAAGTGTAGCATACAATCTATAGATTCACAAATAGTTGAAGTAGTTGAGATACAGTCAAACCTGTCTAAGTGGAACACCTTTGGTACCTTTAAAAAGTGTTCTACTTGGGAGGTGTTCAACTGTATTTCCAAAAGTTGGTTCATAAGCTGATGTTTTAGCATCAATCTACATACCCTGGCTTAATGAGAGAATTCTCTGATTTAAAGGGTGACGCATATCGTTTAGCAAATCGAACGCTCGTTTCTGGTGTTGCTCACCGTTTAGTATAAAAGGCCCGATCCCAGAATAATACTCAAGGGTTCACAGGTTCGAGGTCGTTGTGTCAACACCTCTAACTGTTATACAGCATAAGTATATTATAGATCGTCACACATTTATAAAAGGGTGGTTTTTATTTTGACAAATCAATTCCACATTTATTGGTGAAGTTTCAGGATCTTCTATTTGTGTATAATAAGGAAAAATTGGCATCTAAATTTCCCCATAACGTAATAGCACACAGCTTGGCATATGAAATATCCTACAAATGAAACAAAGCAAGACAAACCGGTTTCTAATACTAGGATTTATATTGGCTGTTGTACATGTATTCTTTAAACGCAATCACTCTATGGATAACGTTTTCAAAATCATTATAAACGGATAACTTTATCTCAAAGACAATTTCAATAAACTGGATTTTACAGAACTCCCCTTATTTCTGGAATTCGCCTGGAGCCGCCATATTGTTTTTATACGGGATGCTAATCGGAACCCTTTAAAGGCAATTTGTATGAAATTCACAGTCCAGGGAATCTTAATTCTCACGCTGATTTTCATTTTTACTATGAGCAATTTAACAATTGCTACATATGTATTCCTAGTATTTCTTTCATGGATTATTCAATCCACATAATTCACTTGTTTGATTGACGTTTTATTGCATTACACTGTATTAAAGGATATGACCAAAATTTCAATTGTCTCAATCTACTACTTTTACTCTACAAAGGAAATTAATGTTACATTGCGTTATTCGCATCTTTGCCATCAGGGTACGGAATTATGTAAATCACTATGGAGTACTCTCTCAGGATTAACAGATCTATGGTATTTTTACTGTTTTTCCTGATGACATTTCTACTTGGGAATGCTGTTTTCAGTTTTAATCATGCTAATATGGGCACTGGGAATTGATTTATCTTTATCATTCTGAATTGTGATTTAGAAACTTAAGAGCTTTGATAAGAGGGAGAATAAACTATAATTTATGTTATTGTACTGTCTTTATTGATGAGGTTTCCTGAATGGATATCAGCATTTTGTAGTCTTGGATCAAGCCCATCTTGTCTTACTATTCCCTGTTTTACATAACTGGCTTGGGAAATCAGGGAGAATATGGACATAGGTTTGATTTAAGACTATTTGTTGTATAATACCATGAAGAAGTTTGGAAATTCAATAGTGGTTGGTGTTTGACATTCTGCATCTGTAACAAGTGAGATTTTGCATGTCAGTGCCTTGTATTCTATTGGTCTTGCCTTATGTTTTGTATAAATTATTGTTATTTTTCATTATGTATCAATATTTATTTGTTAATTTGACATTATAATATAATACAAATAGCTTCCTCTTCCCAATCATAACTTTACTTACGGTAAGCTGCTAAACCACAAGTGTTATTTGCAGAGGCACTTTTTAAGTAAAGGACATCATTATTTTGTAATATTAGAAGTTAATCATAATTTTCATCAGTGATTAAAAGTTATTAGATATTTGATATTTTGACCATATCCTATTCAGTACACTCCATATTCCTATTTGTGATAAAGGATGACATTTTATTCCAATTTTTATGACTAAATTGAAATGTACTATAAGTCATGATTTACCTCGGAAAAGGAAAAGTGAGTCTCCTTGGGATTAGGATAATCCGAAAAACAATGAAAATTTGATGTCAAATATCTGGCCCAAAAGCAACTTTTTTGATATGGTTAATGTACAAAAAGATTGGGGGATATTATATAATTGATCTCCAAAAAGAAAAAAATAACAAAATATGAAGGATCATAAATAAGGATTATCTCATAATCTATATTTGCCATAATGTATATAAATATATAAATTACATAATGCAAAATTAATGCATTAATCATGTACATGTAATGTTACATATACTTCCAAAATATGATAAGTTGCATTCTATATGATTCCAGGTTCTGGAGGCAACTTTCTATCTCCACAGGACCCTGGGGTATCATCAGAGGAGTACTGGTCTTGGCTTCACAATCGGGGCACACAGGCAGTACCCAGCAAATTTGAGCAGACCTCCCAAGCCTCCCAGGTTAACCCACAGAAAGCCTTGACAAGGAAACACAGTGCCGATTCATTAACCATGTATCAGACATATCAAATGCCCGATTTCACAGATTTACCACTTAGCCATGACCAGCGGTTATCCGCTTTGATGCAAAGTATGGTCCAAACTCAACGCAATCTTACTCACTCGCTTACCTCATCCAATATCAAACCAAGGCCTGGCACGGAGCATGAATCACGAACATTACCAAGGCCGAGTTCTAAAAATCGGGACCTCCACTTATCCCGTAAACCATTGCAGTTGAAACCGGATGACTTTTACTTGTATCGACCCGAGGGTCATGGTCACCCCGGGAGTAATATGAATGGGGTAATATCGGTGCATATATATTGTGGCCATGGCCTTAAATCCTCTAAAACTGTGCTCAGGGACCTTTACTGTGTGGTACAAGTAGATTCAATAAACAGAGCCCGAACAATGATCCGTACAGGTGCTATCAACTTTGATTGGGATGAGGGGTTCGATGTTGAGTTAGAGAATGCAAGTGATATGTGTTTTCTTATATACAATTGGGATCCCAATAGGAGACATCGACTATGTTTCTCTGGCAATGTGAATCTCCCGAACATGCTTCAAAAGTCCTACAAACAAAAAGTGGCTGTGAGACTTGAGCCAAAAGGGATTATTTATCTGAATGTTGTATATAAGGAAGCGGCTGTGAGTTTACAGCGTACACCATCTATGAAAAAGAATGCCATCTTTGGTGTGGATTTAGAAACAATCGTGAAACGTGAAAAATTAGGAACCAATGTGCCAATACTTGTGATGCAATGTATAGATGAGATTGAACACAGAGGCCTGGATGTGGTGGGCCTCTACAGGCTGTGCGGTTCTGCTAAGAGGAAGGTTGAACTACGAGAAGAGTTTGAACGAGATATCAGAAAAGTTGAACTCTCTCCAAATAGTGTACCCGACATTAATGTAGTGACAGGTAAGAGAAATATTGGTGTAACAATGTATTAACAGTGTGACTTCATAAAATGTCATGTGAGTCAAAGTGTGACAGTATTATACTGTCAGTGTCAGGTTAGTCTAATGTGACATTGGTATGGTGTCGGATGATTCTAAGTGTAACAGTTTATCAATATGACATCATGAAAATACCAGTGTGGCATCATTAGGTGAGTGCTAGGTGAGACAAAGTGTGACACCAGTAAAATGTCAAGTGAGCACAAACACGACACTGTTATAGTGTCATGTTAGGTAAAGTTAACACCAGTATAATGTTTGGCGAGTCCACAGTGTCCAGTATGGTAAAGTGTGGTACCCGTTTGAGATCATCAAGTATCAGGTGAGTCAAGGTATGACACCAGTATAGCATCGGGTACAGCAAGTTTGATATCAGCATTATAGAACAACATGTTATTAATATGATATACATTACAAATGAGGACATGCTCAAACCTTATAAATAAATAAAAGTATCAGGCTCATAACAGGAAACCACCTACTCACTGATTGCCATTAATGTATCTGTACATTATTATTTGTTTAAATAATAGTTGTTATCTCACATGTTTCATGTCTTTTGGTTATGTGAAAAATGGAGTAGAATATCCTTGGACTTGGAAGGACAAGAAAATCAATATATTGGGCATTACTCTTCCGCCATTGTTTTAGACTCTTGCATTAAAATCTTACAATGATGCAAGTGGAGTGTTCTACCTCTTGTGCTTTAATTGTAAGATGTTCTTATTGTATCACACAGCTTAATCTAAATGAAAATGAAGAAAAACTTACAACTTCTGTAAGCGACAGCTACGTTGTTGCAAATGGTGACAATACAATTGTTTCAACCCTTACAGAATATTCACTTTTGCTATATATTTTATAAGGACAGAGAGAGTATATTACATTGGCAAAATCAATTAAGTCTGAAGTATATCTCATTCTAACCACAAATTGAAATGTCTTGAACAACTGAAAGTTCAGCGAACTTGCATGAAAGTCTTCCCAAGGAGGTTCCTATACATCTGTCTAGGAAGCGACTAATGTATCATAATTAAATAGAGTTTTGTGTCGGAACTTAATTGTTACCATGAGCTCAGTATTGATCCTTCATTTCAGGAATCTATATAAAGCAAGGCAATAAGTCATGGTTCACTGGAGAGTGATTAAAAACTAATTGGATATATGGACACTGTACATGTACTAAAAATGTTCAAACCATTTTAGCCATGATAAATGGTGCCGCAAATTATGAGAACACAAGATGGTCCTTCAAAATTACTGTCATTTTCAACCTACTTAATGTTTGATGATGTGTGAAGTTCCTTCCTTTTGAGGTATTTTGTGATATATTTATCAATTTACTTACTTACTTACTTACATATTTGTGTGTTAAAGATCTTATTTTCTGGGGAGGTGCAAAATATCAATGATGCAAAATTCAAAATGAAATTCACAAATTTTCACTAATCCATTGAATATGGCTTACGATGAGATACAAAGATGAATCCGGTGGTTTATGGATTTTTGCTACTTGACTCAAAACAAGACTGACAGTAAGGCCAATTGAAATGTTTGAATTGAATAATTTAAGCACCTTTTAACTATAGGATAAAAAGAATATCCCATGATTTACTCATAACATGAATTTTGTCGAGGCTCATAGATATTGATATCAGCACTCTGTTGTTTCTCTCGCTCCTATATATCACATACCCATACATAGGTAAAATCATATTACACTGTTAATGAGGTTGGCTTATAAGCACCAAATCATTATGTCACAACATTTGCAAAAATAGCCCTCTATATCCCATATCCAATTGTGAATGATTTACATTTGTATTTGATTATACCATGTGCTAATATGATATCCTTAATAAGTACCTAGGGGATGCAATATAGCATACTGTTTTCTCGGAGTAACTAATCTATCATACTCTATTGTTATTCCTTAATGGAATTAGCATATTGGATATTTATGGTAGTTCCCCTGGGTGCGAGAGGTAGTACTGTTAATCTGTGTACATACATTGTACTGTGTGAGGAAAGCTGCGTGTACCTTAACATTACCAAGTATATTATTATCCCACCAAACAAAGTTTTTAGGGATATAGAAAAGTCGGCTGTCCATCCGTCTGTAAGTGTATTAGGCGATAACTCAAATACCAGTTGATAGATTTGGTTCAAAGTTTATTTGCTTATGCCTTATTGGTGTAGGGCCTCTGATGGAGAAGGAATTTTCAATATGGCCACTCATTTCAAAATGGCCACAATTTTTCACAAAAAGTTTTATCTTTGATAAGACAAATACCAGTTGATGAATGTGGTTCAAATTTTAAATGCTGCTGCCTTAGGGACATAGAAGCTGTGATCAAGAAGAAACTTTCAAAGTGCTCTCTGAATTTCAAAATGGCAGTTTTTCATAAAAGATATACCATTCATTTTATAGGCTAATATCTTATTGGTACCTCTGCTCAAGGAGGCATTTTCAAAATTGCTGCTCATTTCAAAATGGCCACCATTTTTTTAATTTTCTAATAACTTTATACCAGTTCCAGGATTTGGTGCAAATTTCATAGGCTAGCATTGTAAAGGCAAAAGACTTAATTCTGCTCAAGAAGGACTTACTACTCTACTACATGTATTACCTAGTTCTTCACGTGATGAACTAAGTAATGTCCAAAATGATGAAGTATTTAAAATATTTTTTGTTTGCTGGGATTTGCTACTCTGTGGAGTTGCTGTTTTATAGTTTCCCTATTTTCTAATATATTAAAAGCACCCTTGTGAATTCCATATTGCTTTTTAGGTATGATTTATCTTTTACAGATAATTACCCATTCTTGAAGTTTGTAACCTCTCAGCCGCAAGTAGCTCTATGCTCATGAAGAGGAACATGTTTCTCAAGCCTATGTATTTGGGCATAAAATTATCATTAAAACTGATTTTGTTATTCTTAAGGCATATAATATACATCCCTGAACATGGAGAGACATCCTGCATCACTGATCCAGTCATCCTTATCATATATGGGTCCAAAAAAGGTATCACAAAATAAAGTTAAAATCATACTCCTGCCTCACATTAAAACACTTCTCATCTGTATTTTAGGCATTCTGAAAGACTTTTTACGTGAACTCCCCGAGCCGATCTTTACCAACTCCCTCTATCAGATGCTCTTGGATGCATTGTCTGTTCGGTTACCTAGCGACCCTGGTGGCAGTGCCAAACTCATGCTCAGCATACTTGAATGTTTACCCAAAGCCAACCAAGTAAGTATATTTTTAACCCCTGTCCACTGCAGGATGGCAATAACTGGAATTAGTGTCATCCAAAATGGCGGACAGAATTCTTCAATATAGATAAACCTTTGATTTCAAATAAACCAAGTAAAATCTGGATTCCAACACAGCCTGCGCTATCCCTTGCAACAGACACAGACTTTAAATTAAGAGAGACTGATGAATCAGAATGGGATTCAAAAGCTTAAAGGTTTATAAAAATCCAATGTACACCATCTTGGCTGATACTAACTTCATCAACAAACTCAATATTGTTAACAGCAGGAGATGAATATCACAATATTAGTTTTCGAAGAAATGTAAATGACATTATCAGTGGCTGTTATAAATATTTGCTTAATTGATAGATATAGAATAATATAATTGTCACCCAGGCTTTTACTTCATTAGTGTACTATTACTGAAAATAGCGCATTTCAGATTGATGGCTTTCTATCAGTTACCTGTCTCTCAAATATACACACAGGAATAAACATCAATACCTTCATATGAGGTATTGCATCAAACCCTTGTGTACGTTTAACAAAAATTTACACTTTTTAATTGTTAGATTTTTGTTTCTTAAAAGAGAGCTTCATCAATACTCTTTGAATAAGAGAGAATCTTTTGGTCTACTCTGACCCATTTAGATATATAGCTACTTTTGATGGTGACATATTGTTATAGTGTTTTTAATGATGATTCCCTGAGATTGAATAAATGAAATATGCAAGTGAAAAAATGTGTATTATTGACTTTTGTATAAGCTGCAAACCATCCAATGGAACTTTCAGATTTTTATGTTACCTCCAATGACAAGTGGTGACATATTGTTATGTGTCTTTTTTGTGGACAGTGTTCAGTGGTTAGTGTTTGGCAGTTTGGTGTTTGGTGTTCAGTGGTTGGTGTTTGGTTTTCGGTGTCTGTAACAAATGGCAGGTGGTGACATTTCGCATAGTTATGCTTTGTTTTACAGTTAAATTGATCTTTAAGATTAATCTTATTAGTTTCTCTCTATATTATACACTATCAAGTGCTAAATGATAGCAAACTGAAATTGTTTTGTACAATAAAATCATTGACGTCATCAATAATGAAAGCCCTAAAGGTGATGTTTCCATTTCTATCTGACACACTACACCTCCTTCTAATACCTACGGAAGGAAGTGCTATTTCAATAACATATTGAAAATCACTCTTGAAGGGGATTCACCATTCTATAGTTTACTGTGTGTATTACTAGCTAGATCGGATTCCTGTTAATGCCACATCCGCGGAACAGTAAAGCAATCGAAGTAATTTCAAGTTAATAGAGAAAAACATGTTTAGTTAGGAGCAGTTCTGTTTTGGTTAATGCGGTTATAAACCAGAGTTACGATGCAGTTAGCGCAATGACATAACTGATGATTGTCATTGCTGTTAGTTTCTTATAAGATATTACTCTCTTGTGCATCCTTATCTCAGAGTTAGGCTTTTACAGTGTACTTTAGGATCTCACAGACCTATACATCATTTCCACTTAGAGCTATCTAGTTCCATTTTCATGTTAATTTATATAGACCAGGCCTGTAGCGCACTTTGCGTGGTGATTGGACAGAGATACAAGTGTCCCAATAATCTTTTAAACGAAAATATGAAATAATTGAGTTTTTACTAAATTGATGTTTGAAATCTGAATTAATGACTTGGATTTATATTTATTAATTGTCTCTGCTCATTTGTCCAGTTAGATAATGTGACTGTAAAAACCATTGTGACATCTAGAAGGTGACTAATTTATATTGCAAACCTTCTTTGTAATATAAAATCTAGTTTTTTTTAATTTCTTATCAAATTGTACATTTTTTAAAATAAAAATGTAAAACTTATCTAGCTACAAGTCCTTGTGAGCCCCCCTCCCCCGACCAACAAAAAGTGTTGTGTTGGGATCGAAGTAGGCTAATGCAAAACATGATGAGAAAGCACAAACCCAAAAATGGCCCAGTTCTTTTTAAGATCGAGTATATGTTGTTAGTAATATCCAAAATATTAGACCATTGAAAAGGCTTTTTTCATTTAAAACGCGGACTAGATAAAATACATACACATGTACTAGTATGGAAAAAAGAATGCAAAAATAGAAAATTGAATATTTTCCTCTTGTAAGAATCATGTTTCATTTTTCCTCAAGTGATTCAGAGCAAAACTGTTGCACAAAAACACCTCAGGGAAAATTGATGTTAGCGAGGTCAAAGACTAAGTAGAAAAAACATTTATGACCAATGAAGCAGGGCTTGTGATAAGTGAATTCTGTTCAATGCTTGCTGATATTAACTTCTAGCACAATGCAACTGGAAAACTCCTATTCACGATAAGAGTTCAGGTGGTAATTTACATAAATATCTATCATGATGCATCGCTTTGGAAAGGACAAATTTTCATTGGCCCTCCGAACGAGTCGATTACTCTGAACGTTTTTCAGCTTCTGATCTTCCATCAGCCCTCAAGCATAGTTATGATCCAATCTATTCAATAATCAGAAAGATAATCAGAGATTCAAAGTAACATTATTTATATTTTTTCGATCTTCGATGGCGTCTGAGAGGAATGGTGAGCACAGATGCTCCTGGGATAGCTCCAATAGAAAAAGTCACAAAAATTCAAGTCAGGAGAACTTCTTTTGGAACTTAGCCCTTGCACTGATTTTTGCAATATGTGAAACTTGGTCCAGAGTGCCGATTTTGACCCACTTTGCAAATAGAAGGATTTCTCACCCAACCATGACCACATTTGAATGAATGACATATCATTGCAAAGAGGATGGATGTGTCTTTAAGGTACATTGAATGAAATTGATGTAGTGATCACTAGTTTTGTGATTTTACGAGATAACCACTTGTTGCGTTTTTTTGATACGCCTTGTACAGTAAAACCTGTCTAATCCGAATGCCTCTGGGACTGGCCAAAAGAGTTTGGATTAGAAGGTGTTCACATTTCAAGGCTATATGAACATGTAAGTCAATTGGAGATAACAAAATTTGGACTGAGAATATGAGTTCATATTGAGAGTTGTTAGTTCATACAGGTTTCACTGTAATTACTTATTATTAGACACTACTGTTACAAGGTATGGTCAGCATATTATTCAATGATTGAAAGAGGACACCATCTGATTCTCTGGAACAGTTAATTCATAGCTCATATTCATACTCTCATTCTATTAACTCATTTCCCCTCAGATTCTGTGTAATAATGGCATGATTATGTGGACATCCACATTCCCCAATCACTATTGACCAGCATTGCCTTACATGGTCGACTGTTAAAATCATTTAACACTCCTTGATCAATCAGAATCAAGTATTTCACCTAAAGTACTAATAATCTACTTCGGGATGATAATTCTTACATCAATGCCTTCTCTATGTACTATGATTGACCGATCAATCTGATACTCATCACATTTTTCTGTATTCAAACTATCAATATGTAAGGAACCTATAGGGCTATGATCTTTCACAATGGTGGCTGATAGGATTCATTGATATCTCCCTATGAGGGATGATTGGTAGTAAAACACTATCAGGCATCGTTGATTTGTTTTCTGATTTCTATCTAACTTTCACTATTCAGTCAATCAAAATGTCGAGAAGTGACTTTTATAGCTGAATTGATTACTCCAACTGTAATGACCTATCAGTTGATTGTAGTGACCCATAGACTGATTGTAGTGACCTATGGATTAATTGTATTGACCTATTTATATACAGTATATGGTTTGATTGTAGTGACCTATGGATTAATTGTATTGACCTAATTAAGAATTACATACTGTGTTACATGATGTATTGTGAGGGCGCCATCTTTAAGAGAAGATTGCTAATTTTGCTTAAGATGTCTCCTAAAATTCAACCACTGTGTTTAATCATATATATCCATGCTCTATGAGACTCCTGCTAGACACATCACTAGACACACAGTGTGAATGTGTTTACATTTGACACATACACCGAGAGGACAGACATCTTTTTACATGTATTTTGGCTTATAGGTATACATTGTACTAAAGAGTAAAGGAACATGAGCCAGAGACACATACACATGTGCACTGTAGATAAATGTCTTATTCTTGACACATGCATGGTATATATGCATGTGTATATTTTCATAGATAATATCACTATATAAACACTCACATCGTAGACACTAACATGGTGAACATATTAACCTTTACTTCCATCTCTAGAAAGAATACAGTATGACCTAACTGCAGTTAAAAAAGCACTCCGGGGTTCTACAGTCTGTTAATATAGGGGTTAGGCATCTGAAGAGGTTGTTGGTGTCAGTATAGGTTGTAGACCTTGTAGGTGTCAGTATATGTTGTATGTGTCTTGAGACACTCCTCAGGTGTCATTTCGTAGCAGTGCAACGCTGCACAAAGTTATTATTCAGTATTAGCCAGATCAGTCCACAAAGATAATGAAATTGAGCTTTCAATTTAGTTGAGATGTCATTATTTTGTGCCCAGGGATTTAACCCTATCTAATATAGTCACTAAGTATAGTTGAAATAAGATTAAAATCCGCGGAAGTTCGGTGCCATCTAAATAAGGTCTAGCTTCATAATGATCCCAACCTGACATTGCCCAAATATGGATCTCATTGGGATAATCAGTGACAAGTTCATCTTTAAGATGAGATGTATTGCTTCACACATGTGTAAGAATTGTAGGGTGACGTAAACTCATTACATTAGGACAGGCGCCTGCCATGTCTCTTCCAATGCCTGACACATCTCTTCCAACAGGTTTAATTGTAGCTGTTATTTCCCCTGTGTCTCTCCAAATAGTATTCATGTATTTAGTGCTGATTTTGTTAAATACAAGTATTTACACAATGTGAAAAATAGGCTGTAGATTTTCTAACTTTAGTTAACACCTCTTCAATAATTTTATTGTTAATGATTTTTCGATTCAAGGGAGAGGATATGCGAAGATATAACGTATAGAGGTTCATTACGTCTGACAGATACGCTTTATGTAAAGAAAGTTACATCAACCTTAAGGCTAACTAAGTTCACGGATCTTCATTAGGCAGAAGCGATTACTTCATCCTGTGTCATTTTAATCAATATGTCATCCTGTATTTAACATTATTCTCATATCATGGGTTCGTGCTACATAATCTGTGCATATTGTTCAAGTCAAAATACCCCCCCCCCCATATTTTAGAGTTGCTTTAATAAGTACTGTATGTAGATTGAGATGTATAAAGTTCATTGCTTCTTAAATTGGAATGCCTGAAAATTCTCTCAAAAAATTGTATAATAAGCTGCCAGAAAAATTTCAATTTTGGAAAATCAAAATGTGCATTATGGTATTGCTCTCCCAGTTCCAAACCATATATGGTGGCAGGGCAGTAAGTAAATATATGTTTATTTTGTGTGATTTTAGGAAACCTTAGCCTTCCTCCTTGATCATCTAAAGAAGGTTGCTAACAGGGCAGAGGCCAACAAGATGACGACACACAACCTAGCTGTGTGCTTTGGACCAGTTCTGCTTTGTCCTGCTTTGGAGAACAAATCTGAGATCGAGGTTGGGCTCGAGTTTAAGAAACACATCGAAGTGCTGAAGTATCTACTGGAAATCTGGCCTGAACAACGAGGTATTATAATAAAACAGAATTATCTAAAATGCACATAATAACATAGATTTGCAGGTCATGATATTTTATTTTGAAGTACAAAGTTTATTTTGGTTTAGTTTTAAAAAATAAACTAATGGAGCCCTTAAACTATAAATACTTTGACATTGAATTGAATTTGAAATTTCACAAACTAAAACAAAATAACTTTGTAAGATTATTTCTACAACATTTTCCCCATAGTATGCATATTAAACTTATTATTTCATGCATTATATATATATATACAATATTAAAGTAGTTTGGTGTATCAGTGTCATAAATCCATTTTTCAGTTTGTGGTGACTTATTTGAACCTGTTATCAATTTTATATTGTTCATTCGATTAAGACCATAAGACAGAATAGCATATGAATGAGAGTCATGGCTATATTGCGTTAGAGTAGTTGATTGATTTTTCACAAGTAATTGATTGATTTTTGACAAAGAGTTGATTGATTTTTCACAAAGAGTTTATTGATTTTTCACAAAGAGTTGACTGAGTATTCACAAAGAGTTGATCAATCTTTCACAAAGAGTTGATTGATTGTTCACAGAGTTGATTGATTTTTCACATAGTCGATTGATTTTTCACAAAAAGTTGATTGATTTTTCACATAGTCGATTGATTTTTCACAAAAAGTTGATTGATTTTTCACATAGTCTATTGATTTTTCACAATTAATGAACTCATAATTCATAATTACATACAATTAGTAGTTCCTTCCACTCTCACTGTTTATTTCTGTTTAATTTTCATAACCACTTTTTTCAGAGAGTAAAAGTTTGTGTCTCGTATATTTCTCCACACCACTCCATCTCCCCAAAAGCTGTTTGTTGAGTAGGGCCCTCCGTAATAGTACCTGCCATTGAGGTTACTATTATAGCAGTTGTTATACCACCAGGCCCCATGGCCCCATTCAACACACAACCCATCATTGAGGTCATTGCGTCTGTCCCTAGTGCTGAATTCCATTTCATTATGATAACTCAATGCATCACCAGCGTTACCATGGTACCCACTCGCGTGTAACTTGTAGTTTTCATCCTCTGATCCTATTTTGAATGAGTCATACTCTGCATATCTCATGTTGTCTTCCCAGTCGTACAACTCAATTTTCAGTTTACTGTCGTACACATTGGTGAGGATGTGAATATGCTTATTCCCAAGATAATGGTCTGCAAGTAGATCGCCAAATCCATTTTTGTAGTCTTCCCAGTTCCGATAGAAATCAACATTCCTGCAATGTTCAATCATATTAGGGCAATGTTTGGCTAAAAGCGATGCTTGTTATCTGGCAATAAGAAAGACAATGGACTCTAACCTGAAATACATTTAATCAGTCACATGTAGAAGGGGTCTTTGCATTGTGGGATCCACAGTCTCTGCTATCCAATACATGCTTTATATAAAGAGAGACTGATAAATTAGAATGGGATGTTTGCCATTGTTTGCTCATTGCTATGAATAGTTATGAATCAGTATAATAAAAACAAGAAAGTTTAATTTGGCTTACCCATCTTGCCTCCTCTGTATGACTACCCAACCGTCAGAGCCCTCCATGTCACAGTATGCTGGGAAGGGAGCTCTTGTGTCTGGGCGCAATGAATAAATACCACTAATAGATTCGTAATACTGGAGGGCATCTTGACAGTTAATATCTGAAAATGATAACACACAATAATGATAACATAGTACTAATCAATAGTAATCATGAGTGACAGAGTTTAAGTTTCACTGGAAACTGCAACCTTTAATTGTGGAACAATCTTCTCTATTGTGGTGAAATCTTCTTGAATTTTCATTTGTATAGAGTTATATTGTAACAATGACTTTGACATTGAGAATGCAGTGAATACCAAGCGTGAGAAGATGTCTAGAATTACCCTTGCACCTAATCATAGTGCTCAAGTATATCCTACTTTGCCTTCATCATTGGACTTTAATGTTGTAACAGAATAAGAATACTCACATGTTGGCTGTCTGATCAATGGTTGACCAATGTTGGCCAGAATACCTCTGATTGCATCCAAGTCTCGTTTCATTTGAACCAACTCATTATCTTTGGCATTCAACTTTCTCTCTAGCATTAAAACATGTTCACTTTTTGCACTTTGATCTTTCGCTGATGCGACTTCCCCCATCAGCCTGTGTTCAAGATTATCCATCCTTGCAGTTTGCTGTTCATCTCTCGTGTCATCTTCATGTTTTTGCTGGATTAATTGTTCAATAAGATCCTGTTGTTTTTCATTGGTATCTTCAACATTCATTAATCTTTCTTTTAACTGTTCCCCCTCTGCCTGTATAATTGTTTCTATTTGGTTAGTACGTTGCTGTAATGATTTAATCAACTTACGGTTATCTTGAGTGAGGCTGCCTTGGTTGTTCAGTTTCTCTTGTAGTCCATTTATTTGTCTCTTGAACTCAAGGAGATCAGATAAAGTCTGATATGTCTGGTTTCTTAATTCTTCCCTGTCAGCCCATCCAGACATAACTTGTGTATTTAACATGTTTATCTTGTCTTTGTTATCATTTTCATTCTGTTCAATGATGGCATTAAAGTTTTCTTGAATGGTTGTCATGTCTCTCTGGAAGGTGTCATCAACAGCCTTGACAGATTCATACATCTTTTCAATCTTATTTTCAAAATCGAGTTCTAGGTTTTTAATTTCAACTGAAAGTGCTTGGGCTGTTTCACGCATCTCTTTTTTCAGACTATGTATACTTGTTTGGTTCTTGGCTTCAAAGATAAGATTAGCTAGCTGTGTCTGTAGTTTGACGAGAGACCGTATGTCATTACCTTTTCCCATTACGTCATTATTTGATGATTTGTTCAGTAGAATCTCAATGTTTTGTGATTGTTTCTCAATAATCCTCCGTAGTTGGTTCGTATGGGCCTGCTTTTTGTTTCCCATATATTCACCTCTCCAACCATCCGGAAAAGTCTCGTATTTCAGACAGTCATCATTCTCTACCTTTTCCCTGAAAAGTTTATAGTAACATTTTGTCTCATCATCATGTAGAGTTGGTGTCAATGGTGTTGTCTCCCCATTGAATAATACAGCTTCTGGTGGATCACTTGTATTCATGTCTTCATCAAATAGAACTGGCTTAGGGTCATCTACTGGTCCCGCATTAGCAAAAACTATGCAACACACAAATAAAGTTATTGCATATATCATTGTGCTAGTTAAACCTTCTACCTTCTCTGCCTACACATTTAATGTGGTACAATCACAGTTGTATACTAGCCAATAATGGAACTGTAAAAAATATGTGAAACTTAGAATCTCAAGGATTGCAACACTTTTAAATCTGATAGCTACTCCAAAGAAGATAATTAATATAGGACTTAAGTGCTTGAAATGAATGAAAATATAGTGGTTGATACGCAACAGTACTTGACTTAAAGGTACAACCAGTGATAGAGAGGAACTTTTTTAAAACATATATTTTTATTTTTGGTACTGTTTGTTTCTTTATAATGCTTCAATCAGATTCTTTCCAGATTATAATGTAATACATTATATCCTCAGTGCACAATAATAGTTATACTTTTTAGTTAAGGCCACATTTATTTTCAGCTTAATTACTAGCACTTTAGTAGACCCCTTAATGCTACATTTAAGTTCAGTCTTGCATTTACATTGCAAATATTTTGATTTTCACCTTTATGATATGAAAGGTGGAACACACAGCACTAATCTATGGTGGGCAGACTATCTAGTTGTATATCATATTTTAAATTTATGTCTTTAGGGTAAAAATAAATGTTTTAAAGAACTAGGTAGTAGGTCACAGTGACCTACTGATATTTTATTTTCTCAGATTATTAGACTTTACTTTTTAGTCTTTAACATCTTTAATTTCCACAATGCAGGAAATAAACCCCAAAATACTCAAATTCAACACGATGCCCCGTTGACTAAAACTATAGCAGTCTGCACATGTACGTCTTGTCTCTATTGGCAACTGTTGAAACTTCACGGGGCAGATGTACCTGATAATATAGGACTTAATACGATTCATATTGATTAGGTTTGCATCTATGCAATGTTCATGGATACTGTGCTATATGAGGTGGGGGGGGGGGGGTTAGGTGGGGGATTGTTAAATGATGACTTGTTTACAGAAGTCATTTCAGCATATTATCCATGAATGTAATCTTCATTTGCTGTAGTGCTTTTTCACTTTGTATGTTTAATTTATTGTTTATTTGCTTTGGCCACATATGATACCATTGTCCCTTGAATGTGAAGCCTTTAAATAAGGTGGTTCCCTGGTTTCCCTCCCTCTCCTGACTGACCAGCTGACTCAAATCTCATGCATAGGTCCATGTATTATCTCACCACCACAAATGTTGACATATTGTTGTAGTCTCAAACTTTTTGTGGACAGTGTTGTGTTCAGCGTTTGGTGTTCAACATTTGCATTCCATAGTCAGCGTCTGTAACGAATCGCATTTGGTGACATTTTGCATATTAATGCCTTGCTATTTCAATATACCTTATAAATCTGAAATGTATGTGATCACTAATGAAACCAAACCCTAAACCCATTGGATACACCGTTTTTGCATTTTTATTATTTTGTTGTTGGCTTGTTATATATGTATATTCAGTTATAAATTGAAAAGGTTATCCCTCATATAAATTCAACATACTAAACTTCATCTTACATGTCTTATACAGTATTGTAATATTTTTTTTATATATGTTTGTACAAAAGGTAATTATGTTATAAAACTGTTTAATATATTTGATGTACAGTTTAAACCTTAATAAATGTATATGTTGTCAAATCTCATTTTCTCTCCTTTAATTTTGTGTAAATGATGTACATGTATGTTACCTTTCAAAAATTTCCACATTTTTTTTCAAATAAGTTAAAATTGTTTGACCAAGTGGTTGAATATAAATGTGCTTAGAATCATCATCATAATCCCGTACTAATAAATAGATACTAATAAATGTATATTATCATTTTGCCAAATTTTGTGTGCGTAGTTTTGAAACATCAATTAACTAGGCCTACGTACATGTTTATCATGTAAAAATAATTGGTTCAGCCTTAGTGTAAGTCTGAAGAGAGAATGAATTTTGTATTTGGTTGATTCCAGAATTGAAGAGCAACCCAGCAACTTCACCGCAGAGATCCATTATGAGAGCGACGTTACAGGAAGTCGCCACAGGCTCTCCCCAGAGGTCAACAATCAGGGCAGCAAATATATCACAATCCCCAAAAACCTCCCCTCAGAAGTCTTCATTTCGGGTGGCTCCTGAGGGTAGCCATGAGTCACCCAATAGAAGATCTAGGTCAAGGTCATCAGAGAGAAAACCAAAGGGAGAGGTGACGTGGTTAGATTCTGAGGAGGTCTCTACATGTTAGGGACATTGAAAAGTGAGCCGAAATAACAGGAAAATACCAAAGATGACTTTCTTTCTACATTATTATACATGTCAATATATCTAGAGATCATTATGTTATATATTGAATATAAAACAGCTTAGATCACATATTGCATTACAAGAAGTGAGGGTAGTTTTAGTGCAACACCCTCTATGACAACCTTAGTGAGAATAAGTTTTTAATCTAATCAGTGAATACCAAGATAATAAGTGTGAAACACAAAGGCCAATTTGAAGGCAGGGAATTCCTCTGAATGAGGTAACATCATATCAATGTGTATAGGAAGGAAACATGACAGCCGACATCTGAATAATCTTGAGTAGTATGTTTGGAAACCTTTAACATACCCTCATGATAAAAGAATGTGCAATGTCCATACAGAAACCGTGAATACATGTATGTCCTAAGGGTAATGCTATTAGACTTGATCTACAATATCTAGACTTATTGTGTACCAGAGTTTCTTTAGATCAGGGTGTTTATTTGAAAGAGAATTTTAGAAAAAATTGGTCTCTGAAAAGGCCCATTGGCATTCTTTTTTAAATTGCTCCTGAAACGGGCCTATCCAAAATAAACACCCTGCTAGCCAAATATCGTAAAACTCTGGCATTTAGATCAGTGCAGTACATAACGCTTTCTTACATACCTATTATTATGAAATGAAACAATTAGAGGAACTTGAAATAGATTGAGAAGAAGAATTACTCACCTGGAATTGATGAGAGCTACTTTTACAGGAAAGGTTTCAAATGTGAACAATCATCTTTTCTGTGACCAATCCTTCGACTCCCATGTTAACAAGCCTCCAAATGTGACCAGGGCTTTAGTATGTGATGCATTACTACCAGAATATTATTTATAACAGATCTCGGATTTATTTTGTATTAGATGGTACAGCATCTCTTATATTGAAGCTTGAAAAAGATTTGTTTTGAAAGAAAATTAATCGCCTTTTTAAATGAAAATTTTGTAGCTGCTTACAAGGTGAGGAATTTTTTCAAGCTTTGATATTTTCCAAAAAGAAGGTTAGTGCCCAAGTCTATTAATTGTGTAAGTAACATATCATTATGAATTAAAAATATTTTAGTGTTCTCAAGGATGAGAATTGCAGTTATTGGCCATTTCATGAGGTGCCTTCATGATGTTAACATAAAATTACATGCATAATAAAAAATTTTAATTCCCAAGATTGTCCATCTTTTGAAGTTCACCAAACTGTTATTGTATTAAATTGTCATTTATTTATTCGTTATATTTTCTAGTCTTAATTTATTTACATTATTATCATGTGAAAAATACATAAAGAATTATAAAATTCAATTGAATGATCTGTATTGGGTACTGAAACAATTTACTTAATTTAACATTTCATATCAGACCATGATACATTACACGAAAAGAGACCCTGGCCAAGCATATATTTTATGAATCATTAGGTTTCTAAAATTCAGCCTTTTTAGTTGTAGATCAGTTGGAAGTTATTAAAATTGAAATTAAAAGAAGAAAAATGGAAGTTTATTTATTTTTAGAATACTACCTCGTATTGGATATTCACCATGAGTGCTGTACTTTGTATATTTTAGTGCATGATGTATGTAAGATCTCGCATTTGTTATGATATGTATGTATCTAAAATCATGAGACATAAGCTATGTTTGAAGATATTATCCATTGAGTAGAGCTGTTTAGTGATTAAAATCTGTAGGAAGGGGACAATAGCTGTGTGTAATAGGTTCAGTTTTATAAGTCAAATTATAGCCTGCAAGACCTACCTTAGTAAGTATCCTCTTTTGAAATATGGAAAGTGCAAATATTGAAGAGGTTGCATTTGGAATACGTCTCTCCCACTTTCAGCAGGTGCATAATGTAACAAACATCCATTTGAGTCCATTGGGAGTCATTTCATCTCATTCCAGTTATAATGCAAGATCTATATATTTATTTTGGAGAGTTCTGTAAACACATTGTATTATATTGTTATTTTACAACTTACAGTCTATTATGTTATTTATCAAATCATTCCAGGATATATTTATTTGACCACTTTTAAGTAGGTCACATGACACATGCAAATGACACATTAATTATATTTACAAACTGATTTGTTTTAGAATCGTGTATTTTTGATGAGTTGTTGGAATATACTTTACTGTTTGATTTTTAAAGTATAATTATGTTACAAATGTACCAAGTATTGACTGAAAGAGTCTCTTATATTATATTATGTTTGTTTTATATTTTGTGTTATTATTACTGTCCAACTGACTGTGCAATAAGGTAATCATGAGTACACATATAAATATAGATGGCATATGTGTAGACTGGTTCCACTCCATCGATTAAAATCAATTTATTATATAAATAACAATATTTGATAGATATAGAACAAATATTAATACACTCTTGAAATGGGCTTCATAAGTGAACATTTTGAAATACTCAAACATACATGTACAGTAGGTGTATTTGTTGCCAGCAGTATAATCACAAACATGACAGTGTGGAAGCATGTGTATGGGATAATTTAACATTTCTGGGCTGAAACTTTTTGAGATCTGGTATATGTATATGCTATTGCATGTAAGAATATACTATTTCATGTATAAGTACATTATACAATATGTAAGAGTATGATATACAAGGAAGAGTACAATATATATTAAAGAGTACAGGATAAAAGTGAAAGTACAATGTATATGTTAGAGCATGGTATACATGTAAAAGTAAAGTATATAATGTGGTATACAATATGGATATAAGAGTATAATATACATGTATGAGTACAGTGTATGTAAGAGTAAAAACAGGTATGTTGGAGTATGTAATATACTCATGAGAGTACAATATACATGTATGAGTACAGTGTATGTAAGAGTAAAAACAGGTATGTTGGAGTATGTAATATACTCATGAGAGTACAATATACATGTAAGAAGTTTTTTGTAGTATTATAAGTTGACCATGACCATAAATAGAACATTGACCATGACATGAAGGTATATATACCTTAAGGAATACAATGAGAACCAACATAAATTAAACATCTTTGAAATTTTTGTTTCAAAATAGATGTCTTCTTTTTCGAACATTGCTCTCAAAACGGAAAATTTTATTATTAATGTTTGGTGAGGGCACTTTTTGTAGCCACATTGAGGTGTATCATTTTAGCCACATTGAGTAATATCATTCTTAGCCACATTGAGGTTTATCTCATTGTCTCAATTATATCAAAAAATTGCATTTGACACCTTTCTTTAGAAGGGTATTTTGGATTGAATTAGATTGACTGAAGATATGTAAAGATGTATTATAAATGCACAAAATTGTACATATGAAGAAGTAGCAGATAGTCAAATAAAAAGAAAATAATGAACCAAATATTGTTTTTCTGTTTTCGAGTTTCTCTTGCATCAATCGCATATGCCTTAATTTTCTGACATATTTTCTTCATATTCTCAGACACACCTTCTTATTTTTGTTTATACAACAAAATGTATGAGCTACATGTAAACCAATGGAACTGATGGGTGAGTAGGAAAGAGAAATGAAACAGAAGACCCCTAGGTCGGACCAGTTTCCCAAACTAACTTTGACAGTCCAATCCAAGAAGTTATAACTTATTTTGCATTCCTACTTTCCTCTATTTCAGGTTGACATTAATTGTTATAGTCTCCAACATTTTTGTGGATGGTAGTTGGCGTTCGGTGGTCGGTGTAACAAATTGAAGGTGGTGACATTTTGCATGTTAATGCCTTTTAACATTTAAAATTTATTTTCATATAATATAAATTTTCATCAGTATTTGTATGATGGAAATACAATCCCTTCTATCTCTCTAATAGGTAAACATTTGAAAATCAAATGCATTTAGTACAATGACTAGGTCGGCAGAAAGATGTCAGTAGTGGTCTTTCTTCTCTTCAGACAGACCCCTACTGCCATCTTTCTTTCAATCTTTTCTTCGCCTTGTCAGTTGTCACCCATTTGTTTAAATTACCATCTTTTGGAGCCACCGAACGGTACATTTGATGAATTTGCTTAATCTCTGGCTAATTTGATAAAATTTTACCAGTTAGCTATTTGCCTTTGCTTGAATTCTGCCTTTGCTTAAATTGAATTAAAATTTTGGTTGATTTTATTAATTTTTGCCAATTTGGCAATTAAAGTTTTATCTTTGCCAAAAAATTGCATGAGCAAAATCATAAGACAAGTGAAATATCCCAATTTTTGACCAATTTCGTCCATTTGGGACATTAAGGGAAAAGAATCTAGAACTCTTTTCAACAAAGACCTGTGATATCCCTTTAAACTTTATGTTATAAATAGCTCAACGACATTATCAGATATAGACACCTCCAATTTAATTCATGCATAGGTTATGTAACTCAATTGGCTTGTATTTTCCATTACTTGCACAATGTGCTCTTCAAATTATAGGAGGCAAAATTCAGCAAAAATGTGAGTTCCAATGAAAGAAAACAATTTTGATTAATTGTACAATTGAATTCCTTTTTGATAGTATTAGAACAGTATTCCAGGCCTAAAATGCGAAGTACAAACCTAGCCCATCTCGAAATAGATATCGTTTTTCTGTAATTCTGTAGTGTATTACTCACTTGATAAAGTGTAACATCTCACTTATTTCGAATTCCATCTTTGCATATACCTCGAATATCTAAGGTAAAAAAAACGATAAATTGGCGAATAATGTACGCCAAAACGCCAATGTGTAGTGTTGAAAAGTGAGAATAAAAAAGCTTATTAATTTTCCATATATTCTTTAGTCATATTTTTTCATTGGAATAAATTGTTTGTGATTTCGAGAACACTAAAGAATGTTTTTGGACACCATGTGATATGCTCCATTTTTTCAAACATGTCTAATAATCAAGGAATACTAAAGGTATATACACTCCCCTCCATAAGTTTGGCAACCTTTTTTCCCCATTGAACTACGTGTTGAAGCCTCTTTACGTTTGAATTTTTATTTACTTAACCGGCGATGAAATGACTTATACTATTGATGGCAACGTAACTTGACTTTATTTCCAATACCTCCAAATTTTCTCAATTTTTTCCTCAATTACAATAGGTCGAAAATTGATGATAAATTTGATGAATTTTTGAAAATCGTCATTCCCATGTAATCCAATGGGAAATGGAGGGTTCGGGGCAAATCAGAAATCAGGATATCTTTTCAGTGAAAGATTCAGCAAAAAATATTTTTATATAGAAAATTGAATTGTCTAGCTTTTATGAACCCTAAGTGTTTAGTTTATTTGATGAATATTAAAGTTACAGCGCTTCAAAGTCATTTTAGAAAATATTTTTTCGCCTCCTGTGTTATTTCAATGGGAGAGGTTTTTTGAAAAACAATTTTGACTTTAAAGCCTTATAACTTTGTTGAACCTGAAGAAACATTTTTTGTTAAATAAAGTTAGCAAATTCAATTGCCTGCCTAACTCGTATTTTTGCAAGGACTCGGATGGATGGATATTCTGTCATATGACTTGAGGCAAACCTACCATTTCCCATTGGTTAACATGGGAATGTCGATTTTCAAAAATTCATCAAATTTATCATCAATTTTCGACCTATTGTAATTGAGGAAAAAAATTGAGAAAATTTGGAGGTATTGGAATTAAAGTCAAATTACGTTTCCATCAATAGTATTTAAGTATTTTCATCGCAGGTTAAGTAAATAAAAATTCAAAGGTAAAGAGGCTTTAACACGTAGTTCAATGGGGGAAAAAAGGTTGCCAAACTTATGGAGGGGAGTGTAATTCTCAATATTGAAGTGTAAACAAAACAGGCATTGCGAGGTAACTATTTTGGCAGACTCAGATCTATAGGGGTGACAAAATTGCTAGCAATATCTACAATTGACCTACCAATCTATTCCTTACAATCTCAAATACAATATCACCCAAAAGATTCATGATATGTTAAAAATTGGTGAACTTATCATGGATTCAAAGTGCTAAAATAGGTGAAAAATGTTTAAATTCTCCCAAATAATAAGAATGGTGACCATTCTAGATTATTGTATGTGTAAAAATATCTAGTTTTCCTGAAATGAAGTGTGCACTTTGATGATTTTTAGAAAATAGACATGACAACTTATGACATGAGCCAGAAATATTCTAAAATTGAAACCATTTTTTGTTGGCTTGCATTTGCTCGCTATATCTGTTTCTCTCTTTAATAAATTGATATACATATTTTTCTCGGAAATAAAAAGTAAAACAAAGAAAAAAGAAAACACTTTACGTGGAGAAAAGGCGACCATCTCAGGGCGATTTTGATCAAATCCATATAGCTAAGGGTTTCTCTTTTTGGGAGAAAATATCAAAAGATTGGTGTACGGTGTTCCTAGGTGAGATTCCCTTTAGGAGAAATACATTAATTGTCAATTGATAAAAAAAACTAGTATGGATTCGAAATGCCTCAAATAATTGTAACATAAAATGAGCTTAAAATAAAATATAATAGTACCGCTAAGAACTATATTTCGAATAAACACGCCGCGTAAACGTAGGCTATATTTTCCCCTTTCATTTGAAAAAGTCAAAATTTTAAGTATTAGAACAGGATATTGTGACAAATATAATTTAATCGTTATTCAGAAAATTGAATGAAAAGAAAAATATCGCATGAGACGAGTAGTACTACAAATGGCTTTAAGAAAGAATAAAGTGAAATCTTATAAACAAATCAAATTTCGCATTTATTTTAAATTACACCATATTCGTTTGATTTTGTTAATCACACCCCATTTAACAAAATAATGAAACGCGTAACCATATGCCATAACCCCGACATAACATAGCTGCGATGCTGTTTGAAAATCTTTTATCACGGTTTAATGCAGTTTTAAGCTTGCTCAGAGATTGAATGCAAACTTTTGAATTGGAATTCATATAACAACGGTTACGATATTTGAACCAAATAATGTACACTCTCATAGGATTATAGTTTAAACCGGGGAATGTATTTATGTTGTAACCCTAACACGTTTTTCAACTTCGAAATGGGCTCTATAAAATATGTATTAGGCCTAGTAAACTTGCCAATCCGGCATAAGCCCGTTGATTTTCCAAAGTTTCAAAATTGAAGGCTTAACAGTATCGAGAAGAACGTAAACGTTTTCTTCGCAATTGCTAAGAAAGAGCCTTTAACGTATGAAACGTACGTGAACAACAATTTTCATCTCGTAAGTGAATATAGATGGAAATACTATTACTGATTTAAACAGGATCCTTATAACGCAGTGTTAAAGGCAGACTAATATCCAATACTAAATATAGAAGACGCTCGGCGGTTAAAGGAGCGGTATAACATACTAGACCAATATATCATTGGAAAAGGACGAACAAGGTCACGTTATTCAAGTTAAAGTATAGTACTACAGGGATTTCATTGGAAATATACAGATCAGCGATGGAAAACCCAAAAGACGGAGAAGATGTAAGTAATGATTATGTTGTTATGTGTTCGTGAAATTTTGTAAGATCGACTTCGTATAAACGAGACATCTAATTTGACTATTGTGTTGTATTTCGATCGTTATATCTATTAGACCACGTTACGGTATAGTATTCACATTTAGTGATGCACGAGAAACAAGACAGTATATAACCAGGAAAATGTTACGTTGTTTTAGATAAGATGCTAAATATATCAACTTATAGATGTTAATAATTAGCTCTGTCTGATTTCTATATACTCAGGCTTGAATTATAGATAAAAGCAAGAATCAAAATCATACATGTGATCTTTTATAGACCATGTGAACGAGGCCTCTGTGTCCAACTGTCCATTTAAAAAGGCTATAAGCCTACGTTAACATGGGCTGAACGGAAATGGATTTGAACCTGCATCACAATTACAGTCAATACTAACACTCTATAACCCTACTTGTACTATTGAACAATGAATGTGAATTGATTTTGTATATACTATATGTACTGCTTATTGTGTATGTTCAATATATACAATAATATTGGCCAGAACACGTCAGCAAAGAGTAATGTCCGCCCCTTCTGTAATAAGAGGCATGAAACAAGTTGACCAAGAGGGCTTGATGGGAGTTGTCGAGGGAAGTCAACTGGTAAAGCATCTCTGCATCAACCCAACTTAATAACCCTTCTTATTAATGTTATTGCATCTTGATTCACTGGGTTCCATTGGTTTAACTGCATATATAAAAATGATGGAAGACGCCCATATACAGTTGATTCATCTTTGTTTTTGTTTGATATTGTCTTCTTCTAAGTTACTGGATCCCTACCTCCTTCAACCCCAAGGCTCCAGAAGGTGAAATAGGCCTACAGTAAGAGTTCAAAAGGACTTGATGCAAGAGTAACCAAGCCAAGATGCACTCCCCTATGGTTTCCCACATTCCATTCCCTCGTTTATAATGGTTCTACCCGTGTGGGTTCACGAATAGGTCATTTATGGGTCGGGCCATTAGATGATCAAGGCCCGGGTGCCTAACCCTCTTCCCCACGAATTCAATTTCTTAAAAGATTATATTCAGGCTTCTTGATGATTTGATGATAGCATGGGTTTATTTAATGCCCATGATGATAGAGACCAAATCATTATGTTAAAATCAATCCGATCTACAAATGAGAAAATATCGCCGATGGAGAGTACTTGAAACGTGTCACGTTCAATAAAAATGGAATGAAATGAAAATATACTCGTGGTATAAAGCAATCAAAACGTGGGAGTGATCGGGGTGTGCCACATGGAAGAGATTCCATTGGATAAATCAGCTAACGCCAACGTAGCTTAGTATAGTAACCACATTTTAGAAATAAAACAGATCGGAAAACCTGGCAACAGTTTAGCTTGACGATCCCATATGGCCAAGACTCATTTTTATGATGTGTATCGTTATCAATCAAGGAGGATTGGCTCCCAGGATCGAAACTCGATATTTTCCAACAATGAAAACGTCGAAATGTCGTTATTTTCTGAAATTAAAACCGACTATAAATTCAAAATAAACAGTTCAAAAGATTCGAACCAATATCTCGATCATTTCTTGTGAGTTTTGGAATTTTTCGTTTGGAAATAAGACCAAAATTCACGATTTAAATGTTGAAGTGAACAAAATGGCGGCTGTTTGAATTCGAATTTTGTATTACGACATACCCATATATGGGACAGAATATCGGTGGTGCACTCTGGGAGCCAATCCTCCTTGGTTATCAATGTTAATTTGTTAAATACTTGTCATGCATACATGTAATAAGCCAAAAGATATCAGATGCAAGCCGTGTTGCACGTTCCAAATACAGGGAAATAATAAGTCTCTGCATGGGCATTCAGCCCATGGTCTCTGGGAGACTATCCTAAATAGATGAGGCTGGACAGTAGCGTACGGACGGGCTAAAAAAGCCTTGTCCCAAAAATTAGGGCCTTAGTGGGCCTTTTTGGCATTACTTTTCAATTTTAGGCCAAAGAAAATGGGCATTGAATTTTCTATTTTTTCGCGCTCAAGCGCGGAATTCCGTTTTTCAGACTTAAAATGTGCCCCGAATGTGCCCCTTGGTTTTCAGGCCCACATGTGTCGTCAGTAGCCATTGAATACGTAATTCTCACATTCCTGGTTACTCATTCTGTGAACTCATACTTTTGATTTTAATACGATGTTGGATACCCGATGGTTATCGGTCAAAGTCACATGTGAGAAAGTTGGGCAAGCAAGCAAGCAAACAAACAAACAAACAAACAAACAAACAAACAAACAAACAGGCCACAATGCTTTAAAGTAAAAATTTATGTTTTTGTAACAGACAGCAAACAAACAAACAAACAAACAAACAAACATGTCACAATACTTTTTTGTTACTCCATGACTGGTGTAGCCTACTATTAAAGATACATGTTCTGCTCTGTGGTCGGTTGCATTTTCGGATTTCGGCATGCTAACAGGGGGGGGGGGGGGTCATTTCAAGTCAGCACAGAAAAACGCTTTGGGCCCCCAAGACCAAAAATTCGGCTCAAATTTTGAAAATTTCAGGTGCATTTTTTATAATTAATTAATCATTTTTTATAATAAAAAGCCCTCTAAAGGCCAAATTATGTCCAAAAGGGCCCTTTCTTGGAGGCCCACATTTTTACCTAATTTTTGGGCCCAAAAATATTTGGGCCCGAAACATTTTGCCCCCATGCCCCCCTGGATCCGCCAGTGGAAAAAATGAGAACAATTAACAATTGCCGCCCTAATAACGGTGAACTTACTATTAGCAAAATGACCAGTCCCCAATATTTTTTAAGCATCAGTGTTTTCATGAATTTACCCCAAAAATTGTCACAAATGTACCAAGGAGGATTGGCTCCCAGAATCGAAGTCGATATTTTCCAACAATGAAAACGCCGAGATGTCGTTATTTTCTGAAATTATAACCGATTATAAATTCAAAATAAACAGTTCAAAAGATTCGAACCAATATCTCGATCATTTCCTGTGAGTTTTGGAATTTTTCGTTAGGAAATAAGACCAAAATTCACGATTCAAATGTTGAAGTGAACAAAATGGCGGCTGTTGGAATTCAAATTTTGTAGCACGACATGCCCATATATGGGACAGAATATCGATGTTGCACTCTGGGAGCCAATCCTCCTTGCAAATGTACCGAGTTCCCAGTTCTCACTGCTCAATCATGCAAAGCTTTAATTTGAATTTAATCCCTTAAATCATCAATATATCGACTGATCGAGGCTACAGGCTGAGAAAGTAGCATCACCTATCAAGACATGAGTCCAAAAGTGAATGTAGAAACGGTAAGTTATTATGAAACTGTTGATTCATCTATTTCTCCCTTTTCAATTTAGAATTCCTATCAAAATTTTGATTCTTCCAATCCATCGACCCATGTCAACAAAATGTTTTTTCAGCCGCAAGAGATTTTTTTCTGAGCCCATCAGTGCCCTGGCAGTGCTAGTCTTCAACATACCACTGGAACAGTCAGATCTTTGACCATAAGAATGGCAACTTCATATCCCGGGCTTCGTAACAATTGACATGATGAGTTCTTGTCTCATTGACAATTTAGACTTAGGGACAATATAATTGGTTGGATTTTGCATAATAAAACCATGTGCGGTCAATGAGACATTGGGGGCCAATCCTTTAGTGGGCCCAGAATTTGGGACTGCCATTTGGGGCTACCCCCACATCTGTTTTCAAATATCTGTTTTTCAAATCACCCCCACAACTACTTGTGTATTGAAATCTTGGGGTTGAAATTTTGACACATTGCTTAATTTTATCAAAATGATATCACTAATCCACCTTATTTTCAGCCGCAAGAGATTTGTTAATTTGAGATTTATGTGATTTGAAAATTCAACCCCACATTTATGCGGGTACTTGGGGCATGGGATACTCTCTCTTATTTATAATTTAGCCTTTTTAGGCCTTTTTGTCAATTTATCAAAAATGTGCCTTAATTTTTTTCCGGACTCAAAATTTGGCCCCTCCACTTCTTAATTTCTGGATCCCCCTGTGTTTGGTTGGATTTTGAGCTAATGTGACATACATGGTTGGTGCAGGAGTTCATGGGACTGCCATTTGGGGCTACCCCCATATCTATTTTCAAATATCTGTTTTTCAAATCACCCCCACAACTACTTGTGTATTGAAATCTTGGGGTTGAAATTTTGACTCATTGCTTAATTTTATCTAAATGATATCACTAATCCAGCTTATTTTCAGCCGCAAGAGATTTGATAATTTGAGATTTATGTGATTTGAAAATTCAACCCCACATTTATGCGGGTACTTGGGGCATGGGGTACTCTCTCTTATTTGCCATGATACCCACCCTCTTTTGATGTTGTCACAAAGAACATAATTTCTAAAGATATCTGTACCTGTTACCTCATGATCCAATCAAATGCTGTCACTTCATTCGTCAATCACCCCATAGTGTGTATTAGCAACATTCAGGAAATCAGTCATTTGGCAATATTTACCAAAGTTTATGATGCACATTTTGTATAACTGATTCAAAATAGTAACGGAGAGGTAAAGATCTCTGGTCATAAAAGCTACAATGAGATATGAGAAGGTTATAGCGTCATAACTGCTTCCTTACGAATGTTATGTAACAATTACATTTTACAAATAAAATGCCCAAATTACAAATACATATATGATGCATCAATAGATACTAAAATCGGGTGCATTTTATGTTTGTAAGGACTAGAAATATTTGTAACTAACAATTTATACCAACTACAGCCTACAATTTGTAAACTTCCCCAAATTTGCCTGTTATTTTATCGAAGAAATGTATTTTTTACGAATAATAATCTTGCATATTACCCATGAATTATTGCATAGGTCACGTGACATGAGAGTTTTAGGTGTGTGTAGGGGTTGGGGCGATGACTTTGACCATGTCTCTAGTAGGGGTGGGACGGAACAGAAAAACTTGGGAACGGGATGG